GTCCTGGTGGTGCTGATTGACCATCGTCTCCTCCTCCTCTGCAGGTGGTCAGTTATGTGGAGCAGAGCGTCTGTACTGTCTCAGCTCCTCTGTGAAGTGGAGCAGGACATTGATCTGGTTTTTACCTCTTCTTCCTACAGTGCGCAGCCGTATTCAGCAGGGCCTGGTTTCCATAGCAGCCAGGACAGTCATCACTCACCTGGTCAACCACCTGGACCACTACCCAATGTCTGGAGGACCAGCCACCTTGTCCAGTCAGGTAGGTTAGTCAGTAGTTAGTGTGCCAGGATCCAGACTCCAGACACAGTCCAACGTCCAACGTTTCATTCTGCTTTTATTTGTAGGTCTGTGAAAACCATGACAACGCTTTTTGTGAGAGTGCAGACCTGGGACCAGAACTTTTCCACTCACCAAACCTGCAGTTCCTGGTTCTCAACAGATCAACGCTGCTCTCTGTGCTCCAGGTAACCACGGCTCCACCAGCGTTACCATGGTAACTGCTCTATCACTAGACTGTGTTTATCCAGTATCAGATAAACAGCAAACGATGCTGGACCAGTAACCACTGGTCACCAGGTGACTTCATATGAAGTAGTAGTTAGTAGTTAGTAGTTAGTAGTTAACAGGGCTGTAAGAAAACATCAGCACATTGAAATATCCTGATCTCTCCTTTATATAGTGTAATATATATCACAATATATCACAGGATAAAACGTATATGTCGTTGCCCCGTGTCATGCTACGTATCGTGTGGACAGATTCTGGACCAGAACTCACTCCTAGTGGTTAATGTGGTCAGTACCAGTTTTCAGCCATGGTTCCGTTCTTCACCTTCAGATCCGGTCAGAGTCTGGAGTACCAGGTGGAGGAATGACCGCTGGTTTGTCCTCCGCCCCCGCATGTGTCCGTGTCATCATTCGTGACGTCGCTGGAAAACACTCCTGGGACTCCACCGTGCTCTACGGTCCTCCCCCGTCTCCGCCCACCAGCCCGGCACAGTCGCCTCAGCTCCTCCACCGCTGCACCTCCCCCAGGGGTCAGCCCAAAAAGGTGGGAGAGAAGAGAGAGGGCAATGAAGAGGAGGGCAAAAAGGAGCGGGAGGGAGAGGACTTTGGGGGAGGAACTGAGGGTGAGCAGCAAGACTTGGTGGAAGACGGAGGGAAGGGAAAGGTCAAGGAGGGGGGCAAGGGAGGAGAAGGTGGAGGAGGGGGAAACAGGGAGCAGGACGATGAGGAGAGGGAGCAAGAAATGGAGGGAGAAGAAGAACAAGCGGAGCAGATTCTAGCTCCCCCTCTGGCCAAACGGGTGTGTCGCGAGGCGGTGCCAGCCTGGGATTCCCTGAGAGACGGTGAAGATTCCCTGGATGAAATGCTCCAGTATCTGGGCCACTCCAGTCCAGAGTGTCTCCAGAGAGCAGGTACACACACACACACACACACACACACACACACACTCGGACTGACTGACTCCTGCAGACGCTGAAAAAACTGTTTTCCCACTGACGGACTTTTACAGGAACGCCGCTCAACATCCCGGCCCCTCCCCCAGTGTGTGTTTCAGAGAAGCAGGAGAACGACGTGATCAACGCCATCCTGAAGCAGAGCGCCGCTGAGAGAGACTTCGTCCTCCACGTGTGTATCAACGCCGTCACATTCCCGTCTTCGACTTTTTCAAATGACCATCACCGTGTCTGTCTGTCTGTGTGACGGTGAACTGTGTTTGTGTCGTAGAGGGGGGAGGAGCTAAACATGAGGGCCGTCCGTCAGCCTGAACCAGAAACCCAGGCTCCACAGTCGGCCTTCTACTACTGCAGACTGCTGATCAACATCTTAGGACTGAACTCCTGGGAGAAGAGGTGAGAGTGGACACTGGTCCAC